TCAAATGCAACTACCCCACTTGTGGCACATCATTTTAAAGCCCTTTTCATTGCGAATACAGTGACGTACCGTTTTTAGAAATCGGTTGAGATTTGACAGAATTATTGGTTACAAACGAAAAGATGACAAACCAACTTACGCGTAGTAATTTCTACACAAATGCCCACCACTAATAAGTTTTTCANTTTCTGACTTTTTTGTAAACTGATAGACACATCAATAACAATTAGGTAATGCGGTCATGTGTAGTAGATGAAAAACTTATTAGTGGTGGGCATTTGTGTAGAAATTACTACGCGTAAGTTGGTTTGTCATCTTTTCGTTTGTAACCAATAATTCTGTCAAATCTCAACCGATTTCTAAAAACGGTACGTCACTGTATTCGCAATAGGGCTTTAAAATGATGTGCCACAAGTGGGGTAGTTGCATTTGAAATTTTTAAGTTGGGGTTGCTAGGCATTAGGGGGATGAACATATCGAGTTGGCTTGACTGTCAAAAAAGCTCCCCTCAAGAACAAAAATCGACGGGTCTAGGCGAATTTTGAAATATTATTCGGTTTTCCAATTATAGGGGGGGTCAAATTTTCGTTGGGATACCCTGTATATATTTTATATATAAATAAATTATCTACGTATCAATTCAGAACTTGCAGTATAAATACCGTACTGTAATAAATCACCAAAGACCTGGCCAAAATTTTCAGAAAATCAAAATTTTCCTGGCTTCCGGTATTGCTATTTTTGTACGGCATTAGGTCGAGGTTCATTTTTTTTGTATAACTTATATACTTTAGAAATGCCGTACAAAAATGTTTTGCCGAAAACCACCCCCCTTGGTGGACAGGTTTAGCTTACCTGTGTACTCACCTGTACCAACAGGAATTGACGGCATAGTTTCTAAAGTTATTGTTATATATGTGGTAGTATTGATTTATAAGTACGTAATTCATGCTGGGTCAAATGACCCCTTGAAAATTTCCGATGGGCTTGTAGTCTATAGTCTATATCTTTTATGGTATGAACAAATCTATTTTTACTTGGAACTGACTAATAACAACATGGCAACAACTGATACGACGATGCATGATAACGTATCTCGTTCCATAAACATATATGTTAGGTACTCCGTTGCTTGACGGAACAATCAGTACGTTCAACTACAGTGCGCTTGCAACATGCCTCTCGTTATTTACGGATTTAAAGGTAGCCCGCCAGTAAGGGCTTGCCTAATGACCATCCAGGCCCTTGGAATAGATGTAGAGTTTGAGGTAATAAATACTTTGACCGGAGACCATGTGAAACCCGAGTATTTGGAACTCAACCCACTTCACACGGTGCCCACACTTCGAGATGGTGATTTTGTTATATATGACAGTCACGCTATTAACGCGTACCTAGTAGGGAAGTACGGAAAGGACGATTCGCTTTACCCCAAGGACCTTCAGAAGAAGGCGGTGGTTGATCAGAGGATGTACTTTGACGTGGGGATCCTGTTCTACAGATTGAAGGCTACCGTCGTCCCTATACTGAAACAAGGTGTTAAAACTGTGGATAAGGCAAAGGTTGCTGAATTTGAAGATGGTAAGGAAATCAACCGTTATCTATTAAACACGTAAGAAAATGTGTGGTTATTTTAATTAAACAGATACTAAGTGGGAATGATAAATGTTTTAGACAGATAACAAAATTGTTATTTGTACTACCAGATAAATGGAGCGATTTTATCTCAAAAAAATCACAATTTTTACCAGGATAAAGTTTCAGAACAGATTAAGACCACGCTAAGTTTTTATACGTAATTTTCTACGCTCCTGTACACTGATTTTTTTTAATTATGTATAACATTTTTAAAAATATTGTTTTTTTATTTCAAGCGAGACTCTTTGACAAACGTTATCAACGTAGGTAGTTATTATTTTACAGTACATAAGCCTTTTTTTTAAATTTCAAATTATATTTTAATACCTACTTGACAATTACTGTAACTACTAACAACCTTTATCGCTGCACAGAACAATTATTGCAACGTGATAACATATTTAGAAGTTTCGCTACTCGTATTAATTGTCTTGTTATTCAAATAATGGTCCACTGATCCCAGGGCATGAATCAATTCCTTCCTTTATAGTAAATCCATAACATTTTGATTACCTACTCTGGTTCTGGAAGACTTGCTGGAAGAGTTGCTACCCTTCGAGATGATGATTTTGCTATATTTGAGTCACTCTATATAAAGCAGATTCCTGATTTTGAAGATGGTAAGGAAATCAACCGTTATCTATTAAACACATTAGAAAATGTATGGTTATTTTAATTAAACAGATACTAAATTGGAATGATAAATGTTTTAGATAGAAAACAAAATTGTTATTTGTACTACCAGGTACTACGTTTGATGAATGAAATAATTTAATCTCAAAAAATCCGCAATTTTTACAACGATAATTGAAGTTATAGGACAGATTAAGACCACGCCAAGCCTAGAGTCATTGTAGTACCAAAAAAAAATTTGGTCTATTGAAGAGACTTCACTATTAATATTCTCTTGTGATAACAGGGGACGTTGTTATGCGCAATTTTCAGTGAAAACCAAAACTCAAGTTTTTTAAGCTGCATTCATCCAAATTTTGCAAATATCGCTAAATAACAGCGAAAAATCACCAACAAATACCGAAACATTGCCAAAAGTGAGCCCAAAAATATTCGAAAAATTTTTTTCTGACCTTAAACGAGTGTGTTTCTTATGTATTTTGATACGCTGAGTTCGTGTCTGAAGTCTTTTAGCTGTATCCCCAACGGTTTTGTAAAAAAAAACGAAAAAAAAATAGTTGAAATTGGCCAAAAAATCATATTAATGAGAGTGAAACAATTTAGAAAGAGGTTTTTCTAGATTGGATCAAGTGCTTAAAAAATTCAGATTTGGATTCAGAGCATGAAAATAAATAAGAAACCCACTTGATCAGGTTTAGAACAAATTTTTTCGATTTTTTTTGGGCACGTGATTTTTATAATTTAGATGGATTCTCTTGTTCTATCATTATTTTACTAGAAGTGCGATTTCTTGTCTATCTCTCTCTCAAGAGAAAATTACAATAACTATACCGAACGTAGCAGCAACCATTATTATGATAGCGGATAAAGTAGTACTTTTGCAAACTGCTTCTTGTTTATTAACTGATGGCATATTGAACCCAAAGCATATCAAAGCTTTATTTTAAGATTTTTATTCTTTTCCACAGTAGGTTATCACCAAATAAGTTAAATAAAATCCATGACTTAAAAGAAGCCTAGTAGAATAGATACAACATAAACCAAAACAAAATATTAAAATATTAAAAATAAAACAAATATATACTTTATTAATATTTTTAGTTTCAAATAATTTTTAATACTATGCATGTTTTCCTTCAACAAAATGACACTTTATACGAGACTATTGACACGTAAACCAATCCTTAGACCTCTTTCATTAATAAACATAAGGTGTGGTTATTCGATGATCAGAAGGTTGAAACATATGTATTTGCAATTGTGGTTTCGTTCTCAACCACAGCTCCGTTGTCAATGAATATTTGTAATTTACGTTTTGTCAACTATTTGAACAGTGTAAAAAATAAGATAGCAATTTAACGTATAGGTTCATTATGACATAGGTAATAAACTCACGCAGTGGTTTTCCATGGCAATCTCGACTACGAGCATTTTAACAAGAGAAATGTAACACCTACTGTTTTTAATATTTCACAACTTTTAAATACGTTTAGCACAAACGGACAACTACAAATTTGGACAATTTTTTATTCAAATAAAAATGTTGTGACATTTTCGCCATCCCTACATTTTATTAGATCCGTCTTAAGTATTTAAGAATTACCACTAAAATATACCTGTTACCAAACAACGTTGTGCTTTCGAATATCCCAGTTCTTAAGAAATATGTTAAACGATCTTACACAACCAGTATTTTCCTGCATGGTAAGGATATCGACCGCAACGTTGTGTTAAATACCCGCTGCTTCACCAAACACTTCAGTGTTGTGAACGATACTGCGCTTGCAACATGTCCTCTACAATCTACGGTTTTAAAGCAAGTCCGCCAGTAAGGGCTTGTCTAATGACCATCGAAGCTCTTGGGATAGACGTAGAGTTAGAAGAAGTAAATGTTCTCAACGGAGACCATCTGAAGCCCGAGTATTTGCAACTCAACCCATTACACACGATACCCACCCTTCGAGATCGCGATGTTGTTATATGGGACAGTCACGTAATCAACGCGTATCTAGTGGGAAAGTACGGAAAAGACGATTCGCTTTACCCCAAGGACCTTCAGAAGAGGGCGGTGGTGGATCAGAGGATGGTTTTTGATGTGGATATTCTCTTTAACAAGTTCAGGACTGTTGTTTTCCCCGTGATCAAACTTGGTGCTACGTCCGTAGATAAGGCAAAGGCTGCTGATTTGGAAGGTGGTAAGAATATTAACCATAACTTGAAATTAAAGAAAATGTGACCGTAGAGAAATTATAATTCGTCCATATTGTACCATAACCCATAAGGTATGAGAATGCATATTTTTGTCACTAAGTCACCTGGTGATTTTTTTTCTTTACATGCAGTACCTATTATCTGAAGATTTTAACTTTGGAGAGTTATTCTCTTTCATTCTCAAGTAAAGTCGTCCTAAGTGTTTGTTTTAAATTTGAAACTGATTAACATTGAGGGCAGAGACACAATGACGGCTATTAACGACGAAAAAGACAACATTTCTGTTCTAGGTTCAAAAAAAAAGTCTGGTGTTTTTGTTTATAGCTTGAAAATATTTGGAACGCCTGACCTTTTCAAGAATCAGCAAATACTACTTTTCAGATTGACGTATCTTATCGCAATATCTGACTAGCTGTTACTCAGAAATCGAAAATACTTATCAATCGTTGATTGAATTTTTATGTTAAATGACAATCCGATCGTTCCTAATAACGCTGATAAGTTATCCAATAGAACAGAGTGTCTCCAGTCAACAAGTACAGTGTTACGTGTCAGTTGCACAGTGTCGACTAAGAAATGGTGATTAAACTGTACGGTGTCAAAGGGAGCCCGCCCGTAAGGGCTACGCTCCTTACCTTGGAAGCTTTGGGGATCGAGGTGGATTTCAAAGTAACGAACATACTGAAAGGAGAACAGTACACGCAGGATTTTCTCGAAATGAACCCGCTTCATACGGTGCCCACCATACAAGACGGGGATTTTGTTATTTGGGACAGCCATGCCATCAATTCGTACTTGGTTGAAAAATACGGTAAAGACGACTCGTTGTACCCCAAGGATCTGGAGGCGAGGGCGGTGGTGAACCAGCGAATGTACTTCGATAATGGAATTTTGTTTCCCCGATGGGGAGCTGCCGTTTTGTTGATATTAAAACAGGGAGCAAAGACTGTGCGGAAGGATTTGGCGGATTCACTGGTTGATGGTATGACTGTAGCAAAGGTTTCAATTCTTGATATAACAATATATGCCAAAAAGAATTGGAAAAAGATTTGACAAATATTTGACTTGAATATAGTTCGAGTTAAATGTGTTTAAAACGAATAATACCAGAAAATAAAAATTAATACATATAGAGCGTAAGAATGCAAAAATATTGCATTCTGCATAAGTATGAAGAATTCGTATGAATTTATGTTGAAAACGGATTTATTTTCAAGATGTAGTGTTTTAAGATTTTTGAGAAATTTATGTAAATATCCTTCAAAATGTTTGAAGTAGATCAATGAAACTTAGCCTGGTGATTTTCATAAATCTTTGTCAAGTATTTATTGTAAAGCTGCTAAAAAATTTTTCAATAAAAAATATTGAAAATATAGCTCTTCTCCTACAACGCTTGGTATTTTTAAACAGAGCCCCAGGATTTAATAAAATTTTATTTAAAAAAAAATACAATTTTAACAAAAAAATCGGTGAAAATGAGGTGCTAAATATTTTAATTTTTTTTTTCATTAAAAAAAATTTAACAGAAAATCCTATCGCCACACAGTGGGACGAAACGCCACTGTCGCATTCAAATTACTCTACACCCCACATAGTTCAACTGTTTCGGGTGATTTTTTTTTCAAAATGTTCGTCTTGAATGTCCCTATCGATCCCTCTTTTGGGATTTTTGATTTCGGTCTTCATTTTTTTGAATATCGACTCCAAAATTCGATGTTTATGAAAAAAAACTGATTTTCGGCGGAAATGTGGTCCTCCGTGGCGCAAGTTGATGTTTTTCGAAATTTTTTTCACCTGAAAATCTTCGTTTTGATAAATACTACAAAACTATTTGCGTGAAAGTCGGGAGAAAAATTTTTCATATTCGAAAAACGGTCATTATCCAAAAATTTTCGTGGAGAAGCGATTTTTTAATTCGAAATTTCGCAATCTGGGGAAAAATTAGATGAACCAAAAGTTGTTTAGAATCACTCGAGGAATACGCAAAAAAAATTTCCAGAATTTTTGGACACATTTTGGGACATTTAAAAAAATGTCCCAATCCAAAAATTTTGAAATATATCCAAAAATTCTGGAAAATTTTTTTGAGTATTCCTCGAGTGATTCTAAACAACTTTTGGTTCATCTAATTTTTCCCCAGGTTGCGAAATTTCGAATTAAAAAATAGCTTCTCCACGAAAATTTTTGGAACATTATGACCGTTTTTGCGAATATGAAAAATTTTTCTCCCGACTTTCACGCAGACAGTTTTGTAGTATTTATCAAAACGAAGATTTTCAGCAGAAAAAAATTTCGAAAAACATCAACTTGCGCCATGTAGGACCACATTTTCGCCGAAAATCAGTTTTTTTACATAAACATCGAAATTTGGAGTAAATTTTCAAAAAAATGAAGACCGAAATCAAAAATCCCAAATGAGGCATCGATAGGGACATTCAAACGAACATTTTGAAAAAAAAATTACCCGAAACAGTTGAACTATGTGGGGTGTAGAGTAATTTGAACGCGACAGTGGCGTTTCGTTCCACTGTGCGCCGAGGGAAACTTTTTTCAAAAAACATAAAATCAATTTTTTCAGTCAACTCAACCGGATAAAGGTAAAAATTCTTGAATATTAATACAGTTATATAACCAGTGACGGAGATATTGAAAGATATTGCTTTTAAGACCCCAGAAATTCGACGCCACTGACTATTTTGGATCGACACATCTGACTAATTTTATTATAAATTGACAAAAACCGTAAAATTATTCGTTTCACAGAGAAAAATCTATATTCATTAGAAATATATGTCAATCTGTGGTAAAAGTTTTAATTTTTTAAAGAGCAGTAATCGAATTAGTAAAAAAAATATTAGTAGCAATTCTATTGCAATTTATGACGGGGAAAGGTATGTAGAAAGATAATACCAAAAAACGAACTCGAAAGAAGAGAAGCTAAGTTGACAAATTGTAAATAAGTGACGTTTTTTTCAATTTATTTTACTGCCCATGAAAATCTAGACGACCTATCGGGAAATTAGTTATTTTTTGTTGTAGGCAAATAAATTACCTGCAATTTAAGATACCTAAAGCCATATTTCACCAATTTGTTAACTGTAAAATAAAGGTCAAGCGCGGAAAAATCAGTTTTCAAAAACTGTGCATTATTATTGCAAAAAGCGATGGATGTTGATGAAATTTATAGAAAAAACGGTTAATCCAATGACCGACATGTGCGCCAAAGACGATTTGATTGACCATAAAATTGTTAATTAATTAAAACGATTTTTTACAGTAGATACTAACGGCAATTTGCTCCATTGTTGAGTAATATCTGCAATTCTTTAATATCGGAATATAACAGGATATTTATTTTAATTGGGGACTACCAGTGAAAACCCAGTATGTATCATCTCAAAATAGAGGGAATTCCAGCATAAAAATAGTTTAAGTAACTGGTTATAACTTAAGATAAGTTAATGATAAGTTATATTGAGCATATCACTTTAATGAACACTATACATATTTTAGTCATATTTGGTCTTCAATAAAAGAACTTTGATCAATGATGTCATTTCACTTAAGATAACTTCAAGATGTCAACGTTTAATTTTCTAGAAAAATAGATGGTTATCGCGGACAAAAATTGCCGACAAAGGAGACGCTAGGTCTGTTCCAACAAGTGAAAACATTTTTGCATGCTTATCTACACGCTTTAAAAGTGTCGGACGTCTATTTCTAACTGAATACATCTGAGATTGCTAAACATTTTTGCAATGGCTCTATCTGACACAATCCCTTCATTTTCAGCTTACAACTCTCTCGAAACCCTGCTGGAAAGAAGCACCTACGTCGCCGGAGAACAGGTCACCATCGCCGACTTCAGCATTGTAACAACTCTGACATCAGCCAACGTGTTGGTCCCCGTCGCCTCCAACAGATTTCCCAAGATCAGCGAATGGCTGGTCAAGATGCAAGCTTTGCCCTACTATGCGTCTGCGAATCAAGTTGGCCTAGATCAGTTCGCTGCTGTGGTTAAAAGCAAACTGGCCTAAGCGAAGTGTCGGTGTTTGTAATTTCATTCACGTCAATTTTAACAGAAACCATAGCCTTGATTTTAACATAATGTCCAGTGTACTGGGAAGATAGTTTGTAGGGATCAACAATATTTCAAAATTTGATTTTTAAAATTTTGCAGGCTCCTGGTTTCGAGGCAATAGTGTTCACATCTTCAGGTAAAGGGACATAAATTGCTAGTCGCGTGTAATTTTTATAATGTTTAATATGAAAATTAAATAAATGTTAATAAAACGGAAAAACAGTTATCTTTTTTTAAGGTTGACAGAATTCAACGGTTTCTTTTTAATTTCCAAACTACTCTGGCTCAAATTAACAGTCTAAAAATTCAATTACTACCAGTATTTCTGTGTGGCTCTGTCCGATTTAAGAATACAACAGAAAAATTTCTAAAACGATTTATCTGGTATAATAAGTGTACATATATAGAATATGACAAAAATTTATAACTGTTAATTTTAATTGTTTTGTAGCTGGTTCATTATTCTCTCACAGCGCTTATACCTTTCAAATTTATTTATTAAGGTAAAACTGAAATTTTACTTATAACAAATGATAGGGCTATAATACCGGCAACATCTAAAAGAACAAACAAATTATCTAATCGCGTAAAGTAGTTACATCAAAGCTTTAAACAAGATACCTTTGGACAGCCGAGAGTTTAACAAATTTACAATAACAAACATCGTTATCTAATATAGGTAAATGTTATTATAATGTGATAAGGAAAACAGTATGTACAACTAAAAATTTACTAATTTAAAATTGTTGGTTTTCGAAATCAAAATAACTGCAGTCTAAAAAAAAAACAAAATAAATCGTATTTTTTGTATGGAAATTAATTCGTGTTTAAATACCTTTTTGTTTTTTTTTTATACAAAATTGTATCTCAAAAATTTTTTTTGGATATGTTCTGAATCGCCCTGTATACAAAAATGTATGAACGATATCATCAAATTCTGCATAGGAACATCAGAATTGCCACTGTAAAAGTCTAAGCATCTAAAGCAATAATTTTTTAAACAATGTTAAGTGCTCATTTTTGAGAGGGTACAAATGTTCGGACAAAGCAAGCCTGACGTCATCAGTTACTGTATGTTATTTAGTACATCTTGGTAGATAATTCATAAATTCCTGATAAGAAAACTTAATATCAGGAATTAAATACGTTGATAGCATGCACCGTTATTTTATTCAGACTCCAACCTTGAATTCTAGAGTTTTAACACAGTCAAGGTTAAATAAATATGGTGGCGGCCATTGCTAATTATACCAGACCGCAAATGCGGCCGGTGTAGGCGCTTTGTGGGACCCCCTTTTGTCCTGGCTGGGCCCCACCGGCTAGGGCCCTTTCTTCTGGCGCTCTTCTTGCTTCGCCGGCTCGTCTGTGTAAACCCCGGGGGTGGTGTCATGTTTATGGTTGGGTAGGATAGTGCGGCTATGTAGCCTGGGATGCGCTTTGCTAAGGTGGCCCTTAGGCTAGCGCGGGAGGGGAGAGGTAAGGAGGGTATGGGGGGTACCATACCCACCATTCAAGACGGAGATTTCGTGATAAGGGTCGCCATCAACTCGTATTTGGTAGACAAATACGGGAAAGACGATTCTTTCTACCCCAAAGATCTCCAGAAGAAGGCTGTGGTCGATCAACGACTTCACTTTGATTGTGGGTTTTTGTTTCCCAGACTCGGAGCTGTTATTCTTTCTAGTGTTTCATTATATCAGAACGATGATTTGAATTAAAATATAGACATCTGTTAGTGTGAGTTGGTTTTCTATAAACACTTGGTTCTAAATAATTGCCATTCTTTTTAATTAAAATATCTAGAAAGGGTAATGAATTACTGCTCTCTATTTCCAAAGTAAATTTAATTGTTGGGTCCTTGTTATTAATATTATCTAGAAATATATTTAAATCCTCAATGGTAAAAGGCCAAATTGCAAAAATATCGTCTACATATCTCTACCAGACAGAGGGATTTTCAGTTAAATTGTTAACATAGTTTTCTTCGAAGAAATCCTTAAAAATATTACTTAAAATTGGTGAAAATGAAGACCATTCCACAATTTTGTTGATAAAAATCATTATTTAATTGAAAATATGTGGTTTTTATACATAAACTTAATAAACAGCTTAAAGCAAACAAATTTAAACTGTATAGCTAAAAAATTGACAACTCAAAAAAAGTTCAGAAGACTAAAACAGCAGATTTTCGAAACGTTAACGACCTTTTTACTGTGTGCGATATTAAGTGATGTGTTTTTGTATTTTCAAAGGTGGCAAAATACCCAAAAAATAAAGAAAAAAAAATTACAGTCCCATACCTATAACTCTGGAAAAACCACGTATATCTAAACTGATGAATCATTTACTTCAAGGATCATCTCTCGTCGCGACACACGATAAACAATTTCAGTCGTAAGTGGACGTTTCTAAAGTTAACCAACCAGTCGTGTATTTTCCACACTGCAAAAATGCCGATAACAGTGTATGGTATGAACGCAAGTCCGGTCGTCAGAGGAACCCTTATGGCGGTTGAAGCTCTGGGGCTAGAATTTGAAAGGATAGAAGTGAACACTATGCTTGGTGACCAGTTCAAACCGGAATTCCTCAAACTGAACCCCCTTCACACCATACCCACCATTCAAGACGGGGATTTCGTGATATGGGACAGCCACGCTATCAACTCGTATTTGGTGGACAAATACGGGAAAGACGATTCGTTCTATCCGAAAGATCTTCAGAAAAGAGCCGTAATTAACCAGCGACTTTATTTCGACTGCGTTTTGTTTCCTAAGATACTGGCCGTATTCTCCTCCATCAAAAATGGGGCCGTTAGTGTAAGAAAGGACTTGGCAGATCCGCTTATAGAAGGTAATATAACAGTAAATAAATTTAACCCATAAGTACTTGAATTATTCTTGAAAATAATACCTGTATTGGTACACACTTTCTTATGATTTGTTTTGTGATTTTCTTATTTCCTTAATGATAAAAACGTTTCCTATATACTGTGGACTTTCCGCAAATACATAAGTTCGTTTGAAACAGATAACATTAGTGCGATACACAGTAACGGAAGGATGTTTGGTTAGAAGTCGTAGTTTTATACTGTGACCCATTATTACCATGCCTTAAGGAAAAAATTATAAAGACAAAGGTTGTAATATTTTACTCAATTGACAACAACAAAAAAGCCCAAAAATATGCCTCGTACTACTGGTTCTAATTTTTTGTTCATGTTTAGATATTTTTTTAATTAGTGTTAAATTAATGGTGGGTTTATTTCTCATAAGAAGAGCAACATTATTGTAGGTACACTGTTGGCCATAGTAATAGTGACAGACAGGGTTGACATAAATCACGATTGTATTGAAAAAAAAATAAAATAAAAATAAAATGATTAAAAAAAATATGTCATTTTAAATTATTTTACGTGAGTGCAACGAGGTTTAATTTTCTATATCTTACCATTTTTGAAATAAACAAATGAATGAAAATGAGCTGCCCTGTTTTTCCCCAGTATATAAATTCCACGTAATTTGCGCACACTCTCAGCTACACACTCTCCATAGAAACAGAATGTTGTTTAAAAAATCAAATATAAAGTAAAATCTTTGATACCAACATACAAATGGAAAATTTTTAGTTATGTTAAATATACGGGGTATTAGAAAGAAACTCTGCAAGATTTGAATATGGTGATAAGTGAGCGAGATATTTTGAGGGATTCGGAGAAGATTCAGTGGTGTCATCATATTTTTGATAAGAAGCATCGTTCTCCAGAAAATCGTAAAATGTGATGTCAAAAGTTTTCTTGACGCGACAACACAAAATTTAGCTCTTTTTTCATTAACCTCACTCTTTCAATTTTACAAAAATACTAGTTAATTCTTAATCAAATAAAACATATTTCTATTTAATTAAATACATTATTAATGTTACAGAATAAGTGCATCTTGACATTTATAGTATGTCTACCATAAAATCATTTAATACTTCACAAATTTTATTTTAGCAAGATTTTAATGAACATTTTGTTTTTACGAAAACTTGTAACTTTTTACACATTTTAAGCATTGTTTAAGGATTTATCTTTGATAAAACCAATTCCGAACAAAATTCGATTTTTTTGGCGAATGCGCCGTTGTGAAAAATATGCTCTGGATCCAAATAAAAATGATTTGCATTTTGATATTTCAGCCTACACCTCACTAGAGACCCTGTTAGCAAGAAGCACCTATGCTGCCGGGGAACAGGTCACCATAGCAGACTTCAGTCTGGTAGCAACGATTTCATCGGCCAACGTGGTAGTGCCTGTCGAATCGAGCCAGTTCCCCAGGACCACAGAATGGTTAACAAAAATGCAGGATTTGCCCTACTACCATGCAGGGAACCAAGTGGGATTGGATAGGCTAATCGCTGCTGTTAAGAACAAATTTACAAGCCTTTAAAATTTGTTATACCGATAGTCTTTTTATTAAACACTAATTGAGTCAAATTTGATTTTATAATTTGGTTCTTACATTGAAAATCTACGGTGTTTGGTACTCTTGTGTCTGCTTCAAAGTCGAATTTTACGATTTTATTAGGAAAATGTTGATGACATGAAATGATTCTAAAATATAACGGGAAATATAAAATGTCAAGTTTCGTATCGGTCGCACTAAGTGACGTCACAATGCGTTCTCGATCGGGCGACAAAAATTAAAATTGTTTAAACAGTTGAAAGTGGAACAGGCCGGGCTAAGTAAAAAGTGTCATTGCGGAAATAATGAATTTATTTCATACTTTTCTTCCACATTCCGGTTTATTAGCTAAATTTTATGCAGGTAAAAGTACAAATACTTAGTAATTTTTAAATTAAATTTTTTGCTGTAAACAATTAAAATTGTAAATCTGATGTTTTGTAAAATATCTTTGGATATTTTTAATTATAATCAGTTAATATGGGATTTAAGTTTATCTCGATTTAATGCTATAATAGATCATAAATTTATGTTTAAATGGATTTTATAAATGATTTATTTATATGCTTATAATGATAATCCTCCTCTTCAGTATTGCATCTGAAAATAATTTATTGACAATATAGGTAAAGTACTTCCATCAGTTTATATTTTTCAATTCAGTGGAATAATAGGTCTGACATTTGATTGTGAGCAAATAAACAATAAGCATCAATCGGTCTATGATAATAAAAACAAATGATAAACGAATAATGGGGTAGTTTCCCTTAACCGCAAAGAAAATGGAGTTAATTTAAATTCGCTAATGTTTTACTTAATATTGTTTCAAATTTTATTTTAAATGTCTGTTAGCGTAACTATGAATTTAAATTTGCCACAAAATAGGCGATGCTGATAGACAGTTTAAAAAAATATAACAAACTATGAATTTAATAAAAAAATGTTTCAATAGATTTAAATCATACTAAAGGAAAGTCATGTTTGAACTCTTATGTTCACGATAGAATAAGAATTCACTCACTGGGTAGTTAGCAGAAACTCAGATTTGAGCAAAATTACTCGCTTCTGCTATAATAGTTTCGCTCATAAAATTTTAATTATACATGCTTGCTGATAGAGTGTAAATTTCCCTTAAACGGGTGTCTACAGAAATTCATGCAATAATATTTGGTCATAGATTTTTAAGACAAATTTAGGGGACCCATATTTTTTTTTTGCCAAATGGCCCCCTCTTTCGGAGTTACAGCCCCCCGAAATCTGCCCCTAAGAAGTCTCTTTTATATCTCAAAACCATGTGACACGATAATCACTAAATTTGGTACACAGGGGTTTTATGACATGTGAGATTCCTCACAGTGCTATGCTTTTTGGCGAAAAACCCCCTTAAGACACTTTTTCGTGGGCCCCCTTGTCTTTGGAAAAAGAAAAATTTGGTTGCAAATTTGATTTTTTTTTAAATTATTAGTTAGCTAGAAAGCCAATGAATTTAGAAACTTATTGGTCTCATGATAATTTTTTCGTAATTCGTATTTTTTTCATTTCGGGCGTTTTTGAGGAAAATGAATCGCGATATGCATTCGATCACATTTTGACATTCTTCTCGAAAACATTGCGTTTTACGAAAAAAGTATAAAGAGACAAAAAGTTTTAAAATTTAATGGCTTTCTAGTGGACTAATAATTTTTAAGAAATTTAAATATGCGACCAGATTTTTTTGGCTCCAAAGTCAAGGGGGCCCACGAAAAATTGTCTCAAAGGGGTTCCTCGACAAAAAACGTCGATTCCACATGTCATAAAACCCCTATGTACCAAATTTAGTGATTCTCGTACAACAGGGTTCTGAGATATAAAAAAAAGATTAGTCTTAGGGGGCTGTAACTCCGAAAAAGGGGGCCACTTCGCAAAAATAAAAAATACGGGTCCCCTAAATTTGTCTTAAGAATCTGTGACCAAATTTTGTTGCATTATTTTCGGGACACCCTGACAGAGTGATTTACAAATGTTGACCGGAAATGGTACCTCGTATTCTTTGGTGAATTCTAAGGGGAGTCTTCCCTATAAACTTTTTTATTTTATTTATCTAGGAAGCTTCGTTAAAAAGATAAAGGGTGTTAAACTTTTTTAAATAATTTAAAAACTAGGATGTGAAATAATTTGAAATTGTATTTGTTTAAACATTGTCCAAAATCTGAGGGTTTTTCCTAAAATATACGTGCTCCAGTGGAGATACAGGGTACCGATGGCATATTTTTCTATATAAAATAGCACGCCACTGCATTAAGGTAACAATCATGGTATTTTTGAATTCGTCTTTCACTTTTCTACAAATTACTACTCTCTGTTTTTCGAAAAAGCCCGATTTTCGAGTAAAACTTAAAAAACGAATTGAAATTCACAAAAGAATACCAAGTTTCATTTTTGGTCACCATTTGTGAATCACCCTGTATTATTGAGAGCGACGTTAGTGAATTTTTTTCATGTAGTACCTATTATAACTTTCAAATACCATAATATTCACACATCTTTAAAACTAAGGACTCGCCAAAGTGTTTGATCTTCATCAATTTGTAAAATGTAAAGAATTTAATAGTGAAGGTATGTGAGAAATTTGCTCGCCACTCAAAAGTTAGAAAAAAGGAATAGTGTGCTCACCGAATTGTCGCTGATCCTCTTGCCGTAGATGAGATAGTCGTGCTTGGGCTTGACGGTGGGGTCGGGGGTGGAGCCGGGCGGTGGCGGTGGCGCGGCCGCCGACGGGCAGGGCCGCGGCCGCTTCCGCACCGACACGTTGCTGAGGCCTCCGCCGCCTAGCGGTACCCACCCGCCCGAGCTGTCGTCCCGCGACATCACCTGTGCACGCACGCGCACCAGGTAGTTGCCACTGAAACAACAACAACCGTTTTCAACACCATAATACAAATATTGTCTGAAATTATTTATTTATTGTTTTTTTTTTGAGTGTTTTGCTACCTGTGGAAAAATTAATAAAATAATCAAAAAGATATTTGCGCTTAAAATATCAACCAAGGGTTTTATCTTTGTGAAAATGAAAATAGTTTAGCTTAAGCAAAAATCTCAGACTTAAAAAAGCAGATATACAAAATACACATCACTATATAGGGTGTGTCATAATTAGGCGTAAAAATTTTAACCCAAACTTCTCGCCAAAACAAAATAATTAATCAAATAAACCTTTGTTCCAAAATATTTCCTTATAAAGATACAAGAAAGAATTTTATAAAAAAAAATCTATTTTCATATTTTCAAAATGGCTTAACAGATTGTTTTGAAATTTGGTGTTGTCGCTGTCAGTTGATACTCTCCTGTTAAAAAAAAAAATGTTACGCCCCTGACTAATACTGGAAATAATCTTTTTTGATTTAGCCAAGGATTTAGCTTTCGTTGTACTGCAAAAATTTTGAGATTTTTTTAATATCCCTTAATTTCTGTGCTTAGTGTATTAATTAGAAAATACATAAAAATTTAAAAAAAAATTCAAAAAATGAACAATATTAGAATTAACGAACTATAGCAAATGTTCCAAACGCCTGTAATTGTCATCTACTGTTAATTACTTCGCGATAAACAATCCCTAGAAAAAAGAAATCAAGAGGATTTAAGTTGGGACTTCTTGGAGGCCATCTCACAAGACCAAATGATTATTTAACCACTATGTAACGAGTCGAGAGAATATGGTGTTTGTGTGATTATTGAGTTCTTGCAATTCCAGTAAACTACTATTGCAGATTCCTCCCCCACATATTAACAGAAAATCGTTGAACACTTGAGTTGTCTAATGAATAGTGATACAAGTTTTGAAAATTTGTAACGCCGTCTCTGGTAAAAATCGTTTCATCGATACATAAAATAGAGAAATAAAATTAGGATCGTCATTTACCCTTCGAATAAGCTATCGACAAAAATGTATACGTTATTCGGCATCCGCATGATGAAGAGCTTGAACACCTGTAGAGTGGTAAGGGTGTAATAGCTCCCTGTGTAAAGTTCCTACTGCATAGGAATTGTATTTTCCTATCGATCGCATCGATTACAGCGTCCTCAAAACGTTAAAATAAATTGGTTGCGATGCTATTGGAACTGATAGAAATCTTATTTCAGTACTACTCTCGGCGGTCCTGGTTAAACCTTGATACCGTTTTCAAATTTATTTTTTTGCTATAATATATAAATAACTATACCACGCTCGTGCGTCGTATATTTCATTTTGCAACTAAGGCTAAAAAATAAAAAAAAATCCAGGTTGCCAATTTGAAATTAAAAAAAAATGATAGATTTTAATGTATTATTATGAAATCTACCATGAAAAAAATCAGTGCGATTGTGGAAGATCCTCGGGATCGTCCAGACTAATAATTAGTTAATTTGTTTATAAGGCCATAACTTGTAAACTATTCAACTTACCGATTCCAGATTTCGTGTGAGTTATTAGACAGTGATAAGGAATGACAGGATGCGATGCCAAAACGTTCTGGTAATAATAACGCAATTTATAAATGTTTAATTCAAAAGTCATAAATAAACTTCTTCTGTTTATAACTTTTGATCTAATCAATATTTTTTGACGCTCGAAGGCTAGTTTTATAGGTCTTTTTAAGACGAAAAAAAAGTACTCTACTGTTTTCTCGTGGAAATAAACGGAAAAAAGTTATAAGCGAAACACGTGAATTTACGTAAAAATTATACAATTAACCACCCAGTAAACAATCTTCCCCCCATTTTTATGACCGTGGGGAACTAATATGTTATTGTACATAATATTTGGCATCTATAGTGATACAAAAAGTCACGGATTTCCTGGACTAAAAAGACTTACTAGTTAGTGTGCGCCTGGATCTTCATAATAATAATAATACCCGTGAGGACGCATCTGACACGCACTGGACAATAGACGCCGCCGCCGCTTATCTGCGTCGCGGCGATCCGAAACACTCTCCCGGCCGTCCTGGCGCGGTGGCGGCGGCTCTCGACGCAGCGCTTACGTCACCGCTCCCACCAGCCCGATGCACCGCACGTGCGGCGAATGTAGGTAACTGGGTGGCGGGTTCAACGGCCGATTTCAGGGGAAAACACGCAGCGGCTCTCGGGTGCCACCACCGCCAAGAAACCTCCAAGGCGCCGCTCCCCATGAATGATGGAAAACGGCGATGAAAGAAACTAGAAAATTATCTAACCTGGTTCAAGACAGTTTGCAACTGTTGATCGAAGACCTTCGCGTTGCAGAAAGAATACAGTAATGTTGCCGCAGATATTCAAATTCACGAATACGTTATAAAAATATTCTGTAACTATGACAGAGAATGAGGACAAACAAGTCGAGAATAGTTGACGGAAACAGCTTGTAAATTAAGATATGTATCCAGCAAAAAAGAATACATCACACTAAAATTATGACAATCCATCGCAAAGTACGAATCACACTTTTGAAGTGAATTGAAAGCATTGTAAATTTCTCTTCCGGTTAAATGAGTATTTGATTGTGCTAATAGCAGCACCACGTCAACACGGGGGTTATTTTTAGACAGCCTAATTATGAAAATGTTAACATGTCACATCGTGTGAAAGGTAGGTACCTACAGCAAAGATTTCGACTGACATGAACCATCCTGCTCCCCTTAATCATTAGTCATTATTTATGATCTAAAATAAAAGCTAACAGGACTAGGTAGCATGGGATTAAAAAATATAAGCCCTGTGTTTTGACAGCCAGTCATTAACAAACTGCTACATAAATTAAAAACAAAAAATTGGTAGCTAATTTAAGCTCTAACATCTACATATTTCAAAATTATAGGACTTTAATCTCTTTTGATTTTTAATGAAAAAAAGAAATAAAACGATAACAACATAATGGTTTATGACTACGTTTACGACAAACTAAAGTTACTCACCTACTAAATATACTCCTATTTATTATTATGAAGGTCAAGAGAGCAGTACGAAATATTGTACCTACATCGATTTATGGAAAAGTGTTTCTAAAATGTCTAGCATAATTTGGGCAAATATCAAAGGAATACATATATCCACAATAATTAAAACATAAGTACTTAATGAACTTCTAATACTTTTGAAATGAGAAGGATACCTACTTAAAAAATTTACAGAATTCACCACCAAGCCAACTTCGGACCCAAAGTATATACTTAAATAAACACTGTTTAATAACAACTGAATTGACAACATATTAAAATGAACTCCAAATTATTTTTATATTGACATTTATTTGAGAAAAAAATAAAAAAGATACGACAATATTTTTCTTATTAACTACGTATCTCAAAATATCGAAATTGTTAACACATTTTGAAGTATCGTCAAAACATAAATTTTCCCTTATTTTTTTGTACTTTATATTTCATTTAACACTTAATAATGAAAAAAAATTGTAAAAAAAATCGTTTCATATTGAAACTTGGTTTAATCGTTAGATTAGGCAAAAAGAAATAATATTTCCCAAAATGTATCGGTTTAAAACAACAAGATCGTTGTTTAAACAGTGATTATAATGTAAATGGAGTTTTTTAGCTGTATAAAAAAACCGCTCTCAAACAGAAGTTTTTGCTTTTGTTTGTACTTATAGGTTTTTAAAAAACGCTTCATTTGGGACCTCCTAAATTAAAATCCATTAACAATATGTTTAAATAATTGCAAAAAATCAGCGAAATTTCAATTTGCTATAAATAGAAGAAAAGAGCATAAATCGTCTCTAAACTGCAGTAAAAGTTATATTTTGTTACCCTTAAGAAACCCTGAAATTTTGGTAAAAAAATAATTTATTTGTTTTTGCGAGTTTACGAGTTTTTGCATTTCTTTATTAGAAATAGCATTTTTTCAATTGTAAAAACGCGGTTGTTAGCGTTATAATAAAGAGCCTTATGAGGGCTCATTTGTTTCGTCTTGATTTACATTTTCAAGATATGCTCTTGGAAATTGTAATTTCATAGGTTTAACCTCCTCAAAATGGCGTATAAACAAATAATGTAATTTGTTTATAAGGTTATAACTTTGAGAAGAATGAATATTTTTTAAAGCCGCTTTGATATTCGTATGGCCTGGTAATTTTTCACGAATTTAAAAAAAATGTTCTAGGACCATTTTTAGCCGAGATAGCGTTTTTTTTTTAATCCATAATTTGTTTATTTATAAACATTAAGACTTGAAATTTCGGGAATAAATCAATCAACCCTTAAACTTCATAATAACGGTTAAAGATATGGATATCGAAAAAAATGCATTTTATAGTAATTTTTAACCCTTTAAAAAACGTCCTCGAATACATTTTTACACCTTGAATGTGGTGGGGGAAATAAGACAGAAACGTTCAAAAGTGGAAATCGAAAATCTAAATCTTAATTGCCCGAAATTTTCTTAAGAAAATTGTTTATTGGTACCATTTTGAATAATTTTTTCTCGAAAAAATGCGAAAAAAATTGTTCGTGATCTCTTTTTAAAGATATGTCATAATTACTAGAATCTAGAATATTTATGTCCTTGAAGCACTGAAACATTTTTTACCAAGGTTCAAATTTGCGCCCACTTCAGTTTTTTATGTTCATAAACGACCTTGCAAATAATATTACTTCTCCAAAGTTATTTTTCTGCTGATGACTTTAAAGTATTTAGCAATATAACTTCTCTTATAATTCTACTATACGTCATATATCGAATTACTCAGTAATGTACTTTTGATCCAATGAAATTAAACAAGTCGAAATGCAAAGCTGTTTCTTTTCTGGAAAACAGAAGTAGCAGCTGCTATACCAAATTATGATTACAATATTAACTCTATTCCTCTTGTGCGTTGCAATATAACTAAACAATTGGAAATCTATTTCACATCTCATGTTAAACATATACAAG